AGCAGTACTACATTCCATTGAAGTAATACAAGATCGATTAGCCAGCAGTAATCTCAATGATGAATTGGATATTGCTGCCATAAATAGTCCCTTGCAGATTGTAATTTCGGGTAAAACAAGTGCAATTAAGCAATTTAGTGAAGAATTGAAGGCAGATGGTATTAAAAGCATGATCTTAAAAGTCAATAATGCGTTTCACAGTCATCAGCAAGAAGCCATCAAAACGAGATTTCTGAAAAAGTTGAAGTTTCTTTCTGAACACAAGAAGAGAAATGTTGGATTATACACTCAATCTATTCCTATGATGTCAACAGTCACCAAACAATACATATCTTCTGAGAATATCATGGATCCCCAATACTGGTGGAAAAATGTACGATACCAAGTCAAGTTTATGACAGCCATTGAAACACTCGTGAATGAAGGCTATACTTGTTTTCTGGAAATCGGACCCCATCCAGCATTAATTCCTCCTATGAATGAAGTTGCACTAATGATGAAGCCACAACCTAGTAAGTTTTCTGTGACCCATTCAATAAAACGACCGAAAGATACACAGTCTTTAGCAGATGACATGACTCATTTGTGCCAGGCACTAGGGAAACTATTTGTTGAAGGCTGCCAGGTAGATCTACAAGTATTATTCTGTAGCAAAAAATGTGAACTGGTACAAGTCCCAACTTATCCATGGCAACGAGTACACTGCACTGTTGAAACCAAAATCATTAGGAGTATGTATAGATTCCCGATGGAAAACCATGCTTTACTTGGCAAAGAACTAGAAGTATCTTCATTTTCCAACTCTCAGACCCGTGTCTGGAATTCTGAGATTTCTCAAGTTGTTCTTCCATGGATGAATGATCATATTGCCCAAGGCAATGTTATTTTACCAGCAACTGCATATGTTGAAACTGCATTAGCAGCATCCAGATCTATGTCTACTGATGATACTGAGATACATCTGCAGAATTTAGTTTTTAAACGATTCCTATATGCACCATCTTCTAGTGCAATACTTGAAACTACATTGGAAAAAGATGGAGAGAATTCAAAGTTTTCACTCAGAAGCAAAGACAAGAATAGGAATCAATGGACATTACATGCAACAGGTGATGTCAAATTGATGATGGATAATGGTAATTCATCCAACGCTTGGCATCCTTCAAAGTGTGATTTTAAAGAAGTTAGATACAGATGTCAACAGATGATTTCTCATGATGGATTCTATTTGAAAGCTGCTCAAAGTGGATTTAACTTAGGAGATTCCTTCCACTCTGTTAACAGTATTCTACACAATGCTGATTTTTCAGAGGTACTGCTCTTTGCTGAGAGGTCTTTAGCTGTAAAGAGGGAGGGTAAGAGGTACATATTCCACCCAGCCTACCTTGATGCAGTGTTCCAGACATTTGCAGTTATCCAGCTGGCTAAAGATAAAAACGAAGCAGATGAAAATGGAATACCATTTGATCCAGTGTTTGGTGTACCACACTCGATCGGAGAGATGAAATTCAAGGGAATGGTACCTAATTCAATAATCTGTCATATTGAAGTAGATAAAAATGACCAGAATGAATATGTTTGTAATGCTGTAATGACTGATGCAATCAATGGCGATGTGTTCTGCTTGATGAAACATTTGAAATTTGCAAAGATTTTATCTTCAACAGAACAGCTTCGGCTGTGGTCGGTAAGCTGGCAGAAAATTTCTTCTACTGAAGTCACTCCTGTCAAATACATAAGAGAAGAAGGGCTCACAGAAAACCTACAACCCGATAAGACAGCTATAGAAAATATAACATTGACTCCCATTAATGAAGCAAAAGCTGTTCTGGTTATCCCTGATCTGCAAGGTTTTTCCCAACTCTTGAAAGTTATGCTCCAGTCAAATGGAGTTAAAGTAATGATTACTTCATCATACACCCCAGAAGACAAAAGGGAATGGAATAGTGAGTTGAAGAAGGCCATTAATATGTTTATGCCGACTGATGTTATCATAGCATCATCATTGGATGTTGACCAGGATTTGAACTCACTAAATTCCTGGAGGAGTTTCACGCATACCCAGTCAGTTGGGGGAATCCTTGCTGTAAATGTATACAGTATACTTAAACAACTTGAAGTTGAAGTAGAGTCTCCACCAACGTTGTGGTTGTTAACACGATGTTCCCAAGCTGTTGCTGAATATGGAGAAACCATACCTTCAAATGTTGGAGTTCAAGCAGTTGGTATAACCATTATGCATGAAGATCCTGAGTTTCCAGTCAAAACAGTTGACCTTCCATTGCACTGTGATGTTTCTAAATTAGCAGAAAATGTATCAAATCTAATCCAAAGACCACTGCCATTTGAAAATCAGATTGCACTCAGACCTTGCAGAAGTACAGAATCTGGACAAACCCCTGAGACAGACATAATATTTGACTTATATGCACCAAGATTGCTGGTTGAACCAAAATCGACTTACACTGGTAGAGTAACAGCAGATAAATGGAGGATGGAAATGAGTGATGCTGACTTCCACTTCAGTAATGAATCAACTGACCTTGGTGATGTGCAGCAAGGCAAAGTCAAGATCAAGGTTGAAGCATTTATGCCACTCATAGTCCAAGAGGAATCAGCATTAGAAGACAATGTGAATGTATTCGCTGGAAAAATAACAAAAGAAGGCCAGAATGCATTAGCTCATATGTCTGGAGAAAGAGTGATTGGCTTGGTAGACTGTTTGTCATCTGAAATAATCATCAATGAGGAATACATTTGCAAGGTACCAGACGAAATATCTTGTGTAGCTGCTGTTCATATTGCTAGAAAACAACTGCTACCATACCTTGCATTGACACACATTGCCCAAGTACATGACAAATCTACAATATTGATGTATGTAAATGATGAGATTGATGAATCTGAAACAACCATAACAAACATAGGAAGATTACTGGGTGTGCATGTACAGACCAGCAGAAATTTGGGAAGACAAACAAGTGCCCTTGTGAATGGAGGCGAAAGTGTGCATCCTATCAGTCAGCTTGACAAGTTTGATCTAATAATCTTGAGACATGGTGAGGAACTGAAGCAAGAGCAAATTAGCCTGATATGTTCTAAATTGAATCCATTTGGAAAAATCCTTTTCTTCCATGAAAGAAATTTAGTAAAGTTCCCATCTCACATACAAGTACTGAGTCTAGATTTTAGAATGTTTCATAGTCAGGCACAAGGGTGCGTGATCTTTCAAGAAAAAATGCTAGAACTCATGCATTTTCTACTTCGCCATGGTGATATATCACCAACATGTGAGTCAGAGTCCCCTACCAAGTTGTTATCTGAAGTTTCTGCATTTAGGAATGTTGAGTTGAATATGACAGTCATAGCTGTTGATAAGGTGGAAGTTCCTGTCTTGCTTGATATGGATGATGGTGATATCAGGTTCAATCCCAAAGCAGCTTATTTGATTACTGGTGGTAACAAAGGGTTTGGATTAGAGATGGTGCAATGGCTTGCCAATAGTGGAGCTGGTTATATCATTACATTCTCAAGAAGTGCACCAGATGTAGAAGCTCAACATAAATTTGATACAATACAGAAAAGAACAAATGTCAGTATACTACCAATGAGAGTAGATGTAACAGACAGAAATTCACTTGAAAACGCCTTTACCAAGATCAAAGAGAATGAAACAATACCAGCATTAGAAGGAATATTCCATTGTGCAGTAGTTTTCCACGACAACCTACTCAAGGATATTACTGAAGAAGAGTGGAATTCAGTGATGGCGGCAAAAGCATATGGCGCTCTTCTTCTACATCAACTCATCAAGCAGTTTGAATTCCCAATCAGATATTTTGTCATGATGTCATCAATTATTGCGCTAATTGGAAACTCAAGCCAAGCTAGCTACTGTTCTGCAAACATGTTCTTAACTAGTCTGGGTCAGCTGAGAAGGAGTCAAGGTCTGCCAGCCACAGTTCTGCATGCAGGGGTTATCAATTCAACCGGGTTTGCTGCCAGAAAGGGGTATGTTGCTATATGGGATGCAAAAGGAGTGAAGAGTATGTCACCTGCACAACTTCTCTATGTCCTTGGTTGCGCAATCATGGCAAAATGCACAGCCCTAGGAATTACATCAATGTACAATAAGAAGAAATACTACGATATGAATAAACACATGATCATCAATCACTTGAAGGGAGATCCCGGTCTATTTTCTATCTTTAAAAAGCTAATCACAATTGAAGACAAATACTTAGAAGATTCTAATGATAATGTGGTGAACAAAATTCGTTCAGAAGATCTATCATCAGCCATCAGAATAATAGAAGAACATGTTTGTGATTATTTGAGACGAGTTCTTGGAATATCAGGGGAGGTGCAAACTAATGTTTCTCCTTTTTCACTTGGTCTTGATTCTATGATGTCAGCAGAAATGAGTTCTGTATTAACAAATCTGTTTGGTGTCTTACTTCAACCAGTTGAGCTTCTGAATGACCAAATGACAATCAATAGTTTAAGTGAAGAAATATATTATAAGGTGCTTGGGAGCAGCAGCTCAGAAAATAAGCAGGTTACAATTCAAGAACGCAGTGTTCCCAAGCTTTTTGTAATTGATGGGCCGCAGAAGGAATGTCATTTCCAGCTAGTATGTTTCCCACCTAATGGTGGAGGAACTTCCGTATTCAAGCATTGGTACCAATCATTGCATAAACATGGTATACAGACAGTAGTTGTCCAGCCCCCAGGGTGGGAAGGCAGAGAAAGCGAGAAACCTACAAAGAAGTTACAAAATCTGGTTTCACTTATCGGTGATCAGTTACAGCCAATACTCTTGACAGGAAAGCATATCTTCTATGGCCACAGTCTTGGAGGTTTGATTGCATTTGAAGTAGCACACTACATAATTGCTAAGTATGGTATGTGTCCAGTCCAGCTGTTTGTCGGTGGCTGGTATGCTCCATCAATGCCATATCCACATCCCAATGATTACAATGTTCCATTTGCAGCTCTATACACGTCATCCAATATCTCAGACATTTTACGAGAATATGGAGCATTCAAATTCATAGATGATGCTGTATTAAACAACTCAGCTGTATTGGCAAGACTACTGCCATGTTTTGAAGCAGGACTGGAAATTTGCAAATCGTACAAATATGCCCACCTTACACAGCTGCCGTGTGATCTGACTGTTTTTGTAGGCAGTAAAGATGAGTTTATCAAGCCATACATGGTGGATGGTTGGCAAAAAGAAATAAATCAACAGTCAAAGTTCAAGAAAATCACTCTCCCTGGGAAACATCTCTTTCTTTTGACATCGGCACCTATATTGCTCAAGGAGTTCATCAAGACCAGTTTTACATGTACTACTGTCAATGGTATTTCAATGGCGGTGCGGGAAGTTGGAGACATAACGCAACAGAAGACTAACTTGAAACATGATGCTGCAATTCAAGCTGGTGTCAGCTTTTTGAGTCATGATTCGGATCTGCTGTTGTATTAGGAGGTATCAAGGAATAACATTGTGAAGTGTTGCCATGTACCTGTATTGATTTGTTGAATAATGATCCAAATTGATCTAGCTGGTGGAAATCTTACTATCACAACCACCCTGCAAGTGTTAATATTATCTGGTGATTTTGAATTTTGGTATACCAGTAGATGCTGTTAGAGCCCTCTTCCAGTGCTCTCCAACTCGTTTGATGTATCCATTTCCACTTGAGCAGAAGTTGATATTAACATCAGTCGATACTCACTGCTTCACAGTTCTGTCAATCTTTGGGCTTTCTGCTTAGAGTTACAGTTTATACCACAAAGTTAACAAACTCTGTGTTTTTTTCTATTGTGCCCTGGTAGGGATAGTTATATTCAATTTACAAATGAAACACGATTGAACAATCAATTCCAATATGAAGATTAGCTGTGCAAAGAACGAGATAGTCAGCGTGGTGGCAGCGTTTTTCAAACACACCTAGACTTGATTCAGACAATCTTGTCATTGAAATTGCAGCCACATTATGAAGGAAACACTTTCTATATTACATTGTATTTATCGAGCCTCTAATGACCGAAAATTCAGTTTCAAACAATTGTTGAAATCGACTCATGTCTTCCTCATGTTAACTCGGCTTATCGGCATTTCAAAGTGTTGACACAATCCTCAGTAATGAGTGGCTGAACATCATGAAGATATTTAACTTTATTCTGCTGCTGACCTATTACACAAACCAAGATTCTGGAATTGCTAAACTCAATTGTTGTGTTTATTTTTGTTTCTATGTATGACCAGGTTGATCACTCGTTCATCTCCCGCAATATATTGTCTGACCTGGTTCATTGCTGTCACGCAGACGGTATTATTGCATTAGACTCGTGGTATACCTCGATTTATTATCTTATAAACGAATCATGAAATAACACAGTTCCGGTCGTTTTCATTGTATGTTTATATATGAGTACATGATTGGTTACAACTCATAATAATATTAACAGGAGTGGAGTGTACTTATTCAAAATTACAAGCTCTGGCAATATTATGTTCATATACCACATTTGAGAAAAGCCTCAAATCTACAGCAGTGCAAGGTTTTCCATATTCTTCATATTTAATATAACTGCCAACGTACTGTAGAATACATTTGTTTGAAATAGTCACAGAAACCTAAAAATAGCATTCGTATATGGGTTATGTATAGATAACAGTGGATATTCTATATCAAGCGGGCAGGTGTTTGACCGTAAACAACAATAACTCGCCAGCCAATTTCCCACAAAGGTTTAGATACAAAAATATAATTTATAATCTGGGAGCAATTTAGCCCCTTGAGTTCCAGATTTAATTCAGACTCCATCTCAAAATAGATAGTTAGTCTCGTCTTTTCTTCATAAAATTCCTCCGAACATTTCCAATTAGACGCAATGTGACATTTTGTTTGTTTGGTCCAAAATTAAGATTGAATTAAGTGAACATTACAGAAAACAAATTTACCCTAATTTGAGCTAAGAAAAATGACGCTCAAAAGGTCAATATGTATGACACATCGCACATGAAATTAAATTTACTGTATCCCATAATATTATTCTGAAACGTGTTTGCGTTTGTTGAGAACAATTACCATCACAGTTTCTACTATTGAACTCTAGAAATAGACTTAATCTTCTCAACTCATTTAGCACATTAACTACTACTAGGTCATGTTATTATGATATGTACAGTGTTTTGACATCCCTATACGAAAATTAATTATTATTTTTTTCCAATATATATATTTTTGTTTTTATCATTCACTTATTCAGTTATTTTAACTTGTTTAACCCAAAATACAATCAGAAGCACTTTAATTTTGATTACTCTGCCAAAGATTTAACGTTATTGTAGATTGCTTTATGTCAAGTTAAAAATAATTTACAGAAATCGTACTTAAAACACAACACACCAAATACTTATTTTAACAACCATATGTATCTTAATTATTGCACGATAACGTACGTGGGTGTAACCTTCTCTTCTAGTTATTGTTACATGAGTTTATATTCAGACAATGTTGACTTTAATGAAGCTATTTTAGTTACCATAAAACTACACGTATTTTAAATTGTATATTGAGACTACTTAAAATTGTCCTTTTCAATCAATGTAATTTTTAAACATTGTACTTTGTTATGTTCAGCATGATAATACCCATCTACAAATAACATTATTTTTTCCATGAAATCATGCTACATTTTTGCCGATAAATTTGTTTCTGTTGCACGGTAATAAAAATAATCGAGTCTATCACTTCCATATACTATTAGCACAAATAAACATCAAACTCAATACAGCTATAAATTTCGGCACTTGTGTGGAGCCCAACTCGTGGATTAATGCATTTATGTAACCACGTGTAAGGTACGTAAAGGCATATTCTGGCTGTGTCTCCAAATAGGCACATAGTAGACATTATTTGATTGGCTGTTTGTAGCTGGCTACGTGGACATATATAAATTTGTTGTACCTGGGTATATTGCTGTGCATGACCTTTTAAAACTTGTCTAACCGGATAAACAGTTTCAGAATCTTGATTGAAAACATTGTAACATGGTTGTAATTAAATTTCACATAGGAACTGAAGATGATTGTTTACACAATTCGTAGTGCCATTTGCACAAGTGAAAGGAAATTATTATTGTAAAAGCCGTTCAAACGTTTTGAAAATGATCATCATGAAAATAAAAGTGCGACATTTTAAGAATGATGTATACTTTGTATTTAAATTTCCATATGTAAATTAATATCTAACAAAACAAAATGATTTTTTAGATTTTTATATGTTCAGAAAATGTTATATGCATGTACTTCCGTTCGTTTTTGAGAGTGCATCAACTTACAGTCGTAGTGATGCGAATCATGTGAATCGACGAAATCGAAAACTTGAATGGGCAAATGTTTCTGTTTATCTATACCATTTAAAGACTGATTTTGATACGTTTATGTCAATATTTGGTCTGTACAGCACGACTGGAAATGTCATTGGCATCATATTAATGCAAATTATTTAAAAATATATTGGACATGTCATAAACTATCACTATTATACACTGCCTGTTTGGTGACGAATAATTCCTCAGTCTGTTATCAATTCAAATGGTTCTTGACTGGATTCATTGTCATTGTATTGTAACAACTGATACTGAATTGGTACTACATGATTTCATTTGGACAAGAAATAAGTACATGAAATCCATTGTAGATTAAATAAGTTTGATGCTAATCTCATTGTTATGGCTCTCTATTTAATATGTTAATATGACAATGCTTTAAATGATATTCCATGCGACAAGTGGGTAATATGAAATATATTAACCAGGACAATCAATAGTATAATTTACAAAATTCGAATTCGTCGAATGTTCAGCAGATTTTTAAAACAAAATCGGTAGTTGGTTTTAGTTTATATTTTAACATAATGCATTGTAATCTTTAAATAATTAACGCATTCGCACGTGAATAAAACAATTGTTATATTGAGCTTTAAAATGTATTAATAATGTTTATACGTCCTCTCCAGCATGTGGCACATGGCACTTTTTTCAAGTCATGTAATATGTAATGTTATTTGGTGTTTAATGAATAGATGCTGCCACTGCCCAGCATCAATGATGACAAAGTACATGTAATATGATCATTGAAATCACGGGGTGTTTGAATGTAAACTCGAGTATTACTTACTCACTGCTGCAAACACAAACAGCTAAAAGGTAATATATGAAAACACTAAAGAATGATTCAGATTCTCTAAATTATTTATTAATTTTATAAAATGGTCAAAGTATTCAGTGTTGGAGTTGATGGGTAAGTTGGGATTTTATTCTGATACAGGTTTAGGTATACTAGTATAGTCCCTTAACATATTTCAGTTCTAATTTCCAGGTGCCCAGAATCAATGCAGTGGAGAGCGTGTTTACGTGGCAATTATGCTAATAAAGCGTACAACTGAGGAATTGCAAGAATACGAAAGTTCAATGATAGTTCACATAGTCTGGTATGTGCCTGTCCGTGATACGCTTGAGTATACCAGATCCTTTCCTCCGTTGTGAAGAGTTTGTTGATTAATGACGTATTCTAATTGATAATACGTACATAGCAACAGATGCATTATGTGCCAGAATACAAATTGTTTAATCAAGCGGTATATTTTAAGCTATCTGAACAAAAACTATTCATAAATCAGCATCTGATTGAATGCAATCGTTAAATGTTAGTTAGTTGGAAGGCCAAGGAATATAGTGTGGCGTGTATCATGCACACTTTAACGGCAATACCACATCGTCTATTTCCATGCTGCAGTGTAGTCTGTATATAAAAATGCCAACCCTGTCCCGTGTTTCGCCCCCCCCCCCTCACAAGGTAGAAGCAAATGACCAGTTCCTGGGAAGCGCCTCGCCAGCTGGCCCGTATGTTTTTGTTTACATTTATTTTGAACGCTAGTTTTAACTGGTCACCCCAATTTATGAAACATCACGCTTCGCCTTTTATGTAGTATACACTGTTCACAAATCACGTTGATGTTTTTATTATGCAATTACTTGATATTTGCTAGACTTTCATGAAGTCTGTTGTTTGTTTTTTCAATAAAATAAAATATCATGGGAGTGTGTAAATGGCGAAAGCCGGGTTATCGCGATCTTTGAAAATATTCCATTAGTTTTCTGACCATAAATGCACGAAATAACGAATCATTTCTACGTTGAAAACGCCCCCTCCTCTTGAGTCTGTGACCGTGAGGGCTGCGCCGAATATAACAGTAAAGGGGACTTGCAAACCTGTCGTTTTCTTGTCGAATGGGAGACTGTTCTAAAGACGGTATTGCCTTACATGGATTAATCAATTGGAACTTACTTTTTATTGAATCGTCTTAATATAGACTCCCGCCAGTCTGTAAAATAGCGTTTGTTGTTGGTATCCTAGTTACGAACACCAATGAGAACACCGGAGTTCAAACCCAAATGTGTCCCGTACTT